GTTCAAAGTTGTAGTGAAAAAATTATATATATATAAACACAGAAATAGGGAAATAACAATATACAACACCTAGATAAAGCAACCTTTAGATCATCTCAGATCTCTGCACAGGTGGTAAAATATAAATGCTAATAAAAAATAAGGTTTGAGAGATATTTTAAGAGGTTTCATATTTTCATCGGAACCTTTAACACGTTCTCCTCCCTCGGCTTTTATTTATTTTATTTTTTTGTAACTGACTCACGTGAGCATCACGTAGAGAAATGTTTCCTTATCTTTTTTTTCTCACGGCTGGATGCTTGAGTAAAGATGAATTTGTTTTCTGTTGCTATGATAATAGTCCACTTGGCTTTGACGGTTTTTAGTTTAACCCAAAATAAAGGAATTTTAATGGTCTTTCAAAGTTACGAACACCGAATGCTGGTCCAGTATTTCTGATAAATATCACACAAGACTGCAGATGTTGTTGTTGGTTTTCTGTTTCTTTGTTTCCTTCCTCGTAATTTGCTCATTCCACTGTGCAGCTTTGCGGTTAACTACAAATCAATCAAACAAACAAAAAAAAAACAGTTCACTGGTTGCTCTTAGAAACGGATGGCCAATAGTCTGTGGCTGTGATGGCATAGTTGTCTCGAAAGGCACAAGAGAGCGCTTGGTTCACAAATAATTGATTGTATTTGGAAAATTTTATAATTTCCTTAATTTAAAACTATTATGTTTTTACTGAGTTTTTCTTCTTCATTAACAGTATTGTTGTTTCTTTTTGGTTTTGAATAAGATTAATATATCTTATCAAACATGAGTTAGAAAAACTCGTAGGTTCGAGAAGTCTTGATAGGTTTGGTTTGGTTCGTTATGAATTTCACGCAAAGCTACACGAGGGCTATCTGCGCTAGCCGTCCCTAATTTAGCAGTGTAAGACTAGAGGGAAGGCAGCTAGTCATCACCACCCACCGCCAACTCTTGGGCTACTCTTTTACAAACGAATACTGGGATTGACGGTCACATTATAACGCCCCCTCGGCTGAAAGGGCAAGCATGTTTGGTATGACCCTCAGATTGCGAGTCGAGCGCCCTAACCACCTGGCCATGCCGGTCCAAGTTTTGATAAAAATTAATAATAACCCGAGCGTTTTCTAAAGGTGGACGTTTCTTCTTCTGGAGCAGACTGGGAATGTTATAGGGTTTTTATTCATTTCTTATCAAACATATTAGCAGAAAATGATAATTTTGTTTTTGAACTTGAAGGCTATTGAGTTATCAGTTGGACTGAAAGTGATACTACTGATGCATGAGGTTATTTGAAGGTTATTGAGTTATCGGTTGGACTGAAAGTGATACTACCGATGCATGAGGTTATTTGAAGGTTATTGAGTTATCGGTTGGACTGAAAGTGATACTACCGATGCATGAGGTTATTTGAAGGTTATTGAGTTATCAGTAACCTGAGATCTTCCGGAAGAAATGTCATCTTCTCAACAGGTGAATTACAATTAAATAAATTCGATAAACCAAGTGCTCTTGAAAGAATTGAAAACTTTACTTCATAAGGGTAATTATTTCAAAAACGCTTGGGTTATTCAATGGTTAGAAAAGAGGATGTATTCTCCAATTGAATTGCTTTTACCATAAATTGTTCGCTAATTTCCGGAATCTTTAACGGATTTTTTAATCATATTTTATTCGCACAGAAAAGGTAGCCCATCGTCAGTAACTGATAAACTTACCGATTTTCTCTTTGTCGTTATAAAAGTTTTAACACGCGGATTCATCTTAAACAGCTTGGCTGGTAGCTTCTACTGCACGCGCATTTCAAACTTTAATGAACATTCTTGCTACGTAATATGGGCTTAAGTTTTACTTTTGATTTGATTAATTAGTTAGCTTTAAAAAAGTTCTCTCGAATTTAATTAATTCAAAGTAATGACGCTAGGTTTTAAAATACAATACGCTGCGCTGAGGTATGGGTCTTTAGTATTTGACACAGAGAACAAACAGGCTTACTTTTGGTGTAGTTTGCGTTCCCTGTTTCTATACGAACGGAGGATAGCAACTGTTTTACGAAATCTCACGGTGAGACATTGATACGTTTACGGGTTTACAGTGCTATAATCCGGGGTTCGATTCCCCGTTGTGGACACAACAGACAGAGCAACGTAAAAACAAAACGAATAAGCACTGAAAGTAATGTTAAATGTTGACATGAATACAACACTGAACATAATGTTAGACGTTGACATGAACACATCACTGAACATTAATGTTAAATGTTCACATAAACACAGCACTGAACATGATGTTAAATGTTGACATAAACACAGCACTGAACATGATGTTAAATGTTGACATAAACACAGCACTGAACATGATGTTAAATGTTGAC